ATCTCCTTCCATCTGATGGACTGCAGAGATCGGTGTAGAGATTGCTCAGATCTCACAGTGGACAATCGCTTATCTAGCTCCTCTATTTTTGAAGAAATGTGAAGTAGCTCAGTCTTCTTACTTGCTATCTAAAAATAGAAATATATTATTATTATTATCAGTGGTAGTTTTACATCAGCAGTATCAGTTATCATTTTTTAAAATGAGGCAAACTTTAAAACAATGTTTCGGTTCTTGACGTTCCTCAACCCTCTATTGTCAAGTCAAAAATGGCATAAGTAGTTGGGTGGTTTCGGCTGAGGAAATGTTATGGTATTTATTTCGGCATTGGTTGATTCCATTTGGTGAGTTCAGGATGTTACAGATAAACTAATGAAAACCAATATTAATGTGATCAATGTTATTAAGTTTGCCACCAGCTACAAATCACTTATTCCAATTAACTAGAATTTCGCCTTGAATTTAATGCAGGTAGCGTCAACTAGTCCCAGTCAATTGCGCAAGCTTTCCCCTTTCATTTCGATAACTGCCATCACCCTTATATTTCAGTGTTATTTATTGCCATGCATTTATAGTATGGATAGTTATGAGATATAGACAGTCTACAAATGTTTATGAATTTCTGTATAGGTGAACCCTATAACAGGTGTTTCTATTAGATATCAGGGTGTACCTACTTTTCCCATCAATTAACTTGACTGTTAAAACCACCCGTTTAATAAAGATATGCAAAATCAAATAATGTGTATTGTTTGTTAAACAGCAACGCCAGACCACAACCAAAACCGCTCAGTAAGCTACTAACTAATCAGAAAGTCATGTTCACCTTAATCTGAATCCTCAAATCTAGTGCAGCCATAATCCAGAGAGTACATCTCAGGTTCAGTGGGGGCTTACTTCCTGAAGGTGGTGCTATTTAACTTCCTCTCTACTTGCTTTCTGTATCACTGATCACCTTAAAGTCACATTCCCCCCCAATGCTGCTTTAAGGACTTGCCTTAAATGGTGCCTCTTGATCCGAGCATCTTCTTCTTTCCAGTAGTTTTCAGGAGTCCATCCAGCGTTGGTGCCTGTCTCCGATTCAACGCTGACTGCTGTGTCTTCTGTGACCCACGGTGTCTGTCTGCGTCCGTGCTCCCGGCTGCCTGCGAAGATCTCTACTGCACATGTGCCTGCCCCATGATCCTTCACAGCTGCTCGAGAATCTTCCAATCTGCAGACGAGAGCGAGCGGCTCTCGTCTGCAGATTGGAATTACTTACACAGAAGATAGGTAATTACTTACACAGGTAAGTAATTACCTGTTTGGTAACTTTTTTGTTTTAATGTTTGTGCATATATCTACTGCTTGCTAGCATTAGATACATGCAAAAAAAAGTGTTTAATTCTACTTTAAACTTTCAGTGCGGCTCTGAATTGAGAGGCAGCAGGGCCTGCAGTGGGTGTGTTTGAGAACAGGTCTCTTGCATCAAAAGCAGGGGTGCTTAGATCATCAGGCTACAAAATGTGAATGATGTAGACTAGCACACCACAGGCATGCTAGGAAAATAGATTTACTAAACAGGTAGACATGCAATTTGGACTTATACCTGGACAATACCTTTGAAGTGTAACTAAAGACACTTTTATTTTTCATTCTGCATAGAGTGAGTGAGGGTTATAACCCCTGACAGTTTTTTTTCTGCCCTCTGTGTACCATTGGGGAGATTTCCTTTCACTTCCTGTCCAAAAGCCACAACAGAAAATGAGAGGAAATTCCTTCAAAGTGAGGGAAATCCCTGGTACAGTCACCAGAACAAGTGTCTCCATTGAAAAATTCTGCATCTTATCCTGTCTTGGTGACAACTCAAAATTTGGGTTTTTCTTTCACTTCAACAGGACATATAGAGAGGGTGAATCTCCTGAATGGGGACATAGACAGCAATATAACTGATAGGAGTTCTAATCCTTCTCCACTCTATTTAAAGCTAAAAAAAAACAAAACAGTTCTGCGTGAAATTACACAATTTAGCTTAGTACTTTTTATTTAGATCATGTTTTTGGACATAATCATACAGGAAGCCAGAAAACTGAAGAGTTCCCAATTTCCCTGAATCAGAATGTTTAAACAGCAGCATTATCTTTAAATGTAAAATCTTAATAAACACATGCCTTTTACTGCTTGGTACTGTCTATTCTCCTACTCAATGTAAACACCTTGGGAAAGAAAACACCGATTGCAGTCTCTAATAAGTGTCACTTTTATATTTTGGCAGTGGATCTGTTTTCTCCAAAGATTTTGTCAAATGCATACAGTGTGTGTGACAGTGCTGAAACTGATAACCCCTACGCACAAGAAAAAAGGTTTAAGAACAAATTGTTTCTTTGCTACTTGATACACGATCTCCAAGAAAAAATAGAGACGACACTTCATTTTTATAGCCTAGAATAGGATCATCTTTAGAGCTCAGGGCCCATTTATAACAACAGTTTTGTTGGTGTGGTTTACTAGATGTCCAATTGAGGAATTGCGTTCCACTCTTTTAAACAACATGGTTTTTATCAGTGTAGCTTGGTGCACAACATTTTAAAAGGAACCCTGCAGTTTGTCTGGGGTATCTCCCAAATGCACAGAGATGAATACCAGTGTATGTACAACACACTAAACATAACGCTTGCAGCTATGCAAGACATACCACCCTTCCCGCATACATAAAATTCATGTTAAAATGCTTGCAGGAATCTAATAAAAACTCATAGCTGTTAGAATACACAATACTGTGTTTATAGCAACAACTTCTGCAGTATACAATTTCGGTCACTAGATGGCAGTGTTTATAAGTTCTGTTATATATCTATGGTCTATTTGCTCTGTTGTATTGAATAAGGTAGAGAATAAAGCTGTGTCTTCCTTCCTGTTTTAGCCATGTCATGTGCAGCATGCATATCAGGCTGTGTGCTTGTGTTTCTCTGTGAAGCCGTGCAAGAAGTTCCAACAATAGCAGTGCATGAACAAATGTGCTTAGAGGGACCTAGCATCAGGTATATTTTTGCACGGTAAGTAATGTGTGAGTGTAACACAAGTAACATGTAAGTGTAACACTTCAAAGTATCTGCTTTTCTCTCCATAAGAATGGAACCATGTAACCAGGCATCATCCAGATTCAGTATGTACTTCCTGGACTAAGTTGCTGGCTCAGAGTTGAAACAGTGATGTAAATCTTGGTGCCTATATAATTCTAGGCTGTGTTCACAAATGTCTGACACAGATCAGACTTCTGCTGCAGCCTCTCGCCATGTTACTCGCCACAAAGTTACAATGTTGCAGTTTGATTACTGGGGCATGGAGCAGATTGATCATCTCAGCCTAGGAGCCACTTGACAGGAGCCCACAAACTGCTTTTTAAAGAGACACTGTCAATTTGACCATTTAATACAATGCACATCTTATCCATCTATTGTACATCCACTGCTTCATACTCTTGCATGTAAATGTTAAGGAAGAACTCCGGAGGGAAAAAATGAATTACTCTTGCAGTGGGGCTACCCCAGCACTGCAAGAATTAAGTGCTTGTTTGTGTCTAGGTGCTAAAAAAAAGTTATACTCAGAAGACCATTCAGCTGGCTTGTTCTTAGACCGGTGTCTAGACTGTCTCCCCCTCTGCTGCAGCAGTCCAAGGATCCTGGTGTCTTCACACTCTGTACACTGTACATAGACTGTGTATAGATGTGAGGATGCTGAGAAGCAGTCCATTTGTGCAGTGAAGGAGACACACTTCAGTGGTCACAGAAGCAGGGAGCCAGCTTTGATGTTCTGGTGAGTATAACTTTTTTTATAGCACCTAGACAAAAATAACCATTTAACCTTTGCAGTGTGGGGGTAGCCCCACTGCAGGGATTAATAAAAATGTTTTTCCTGGAGTTCTGCTTTAAAATTGTCTTATATAAGAATATATAATGCTATAAATAAAATCACAAGTTATGAGCTTGCCTTTTGGAACTATTCAGATTTTTAAGAGTTTGAGAAATTATAGCTCACGGTACAGCAGCCTATTCAGTGCTCATGGCACTGCCTGCAGCACAGATCTATTCTGGGCAGTGGTCTATTATGCACGGGCGCTATGCCAATCATTGCCTGCATGCAGTAAGCCCCACTGACTTGTAGAGGTCTCTACCCCATCTATGTGAGCATATATATATATATATATATATATATATACATACATACACTTCTTTCATTTCAGTTTATTGCCACTGCTCTGTGCTTGGAAGCTGACGGTTCCCAGACTGAACAGTGCACTGAACTGCGACAGTAAAGGAATTCTTTGCTGAAATAAATATACAGACTTCCAGTGTTGACCTCATTCTGAAAACGCTAGTAGCCTAACTGTCAGTATATAAATACCTTTCGTAGTGTCGTCCATAATGACTTACAATATTATGAGTAAGTGTTTCATCTTTATACAGCGAAAATACAATTTGGAACATTTACATGCTACAAATTGTTTCCCAGTATCCTGCTACAAATTGTTTCCCAGTATACTGCAGAGTAAATGCAACATGTACATGAATTATATGTGATACCATTATATGCCAGCAAAGTACATTGTGCCACCTGGTGGACACAGGCTTACTTGCATTACAATATAACCAGACAGGTTAGTGAAAGGGTCAAAAAATGAAGGCTTCTGTTGTTTAGTGTGGATGAAGTAATCCCCGCTGCCGGCTATTGTATTCAGGCAGCTGCAGCCCTTGCATCTGAATAGCTGAATAGTGACTGTATCTTATAGGAAGCAGTCACTGTTTGGTCAGGAACCCAGCTCAGTGAAATTTTTCATTAGGAATGGTCCAAAACTGGATTGAGCGCATTGGCACTGTTCGGGGACATGCACACCAGCAGCCATACAGTTGAGCATGGCTGCTGGTGTGAATGTACCCTTATCCAAAATGTTCAAGTATGCTCAGTATTAGCACATTATGGCACATATACCTACCAAAGCGATCCCTTTCAGCGCTGTCATGTTAGCGTTCTCCTCCCACGCTGGTACTTCCATCTTCCTGCCGGGCTTCCTCCAGGTTCATAGTCTTTGGCCGTTTGATTGGCCAGGGCCAGATGATGTAATGCCCGCACAGGCGCACATTTTGTCTCGGCGAAGAATTCTGCAAAGTGTGTTCAATGAGTTGCACATGTGTGGCTCAGTGCACAGAAAAAAGTGTGCTAACAGCCAGATGAGAGGATCTATGACAGAAGAGACTTACACGGTCTCTTCTGTTATATTAAGCCTGTCTGTGATTATTTCTTTTAACTTGCCCTTTACTTTCACTTTAGGCATTAAGCAGGTAGACCGAATTTGAGACTTACCTTTAAAGTAAATATTGTAATTTAATGTGATTACCTTCAAAATTCAAAAAGGCTTCATACATCTTAACATATCAAAATATGAATTCATTTATTTTTACCTATCCTTTGGTTTTGGACCGGGCTCTGTTTTTGAAAGGTAGGTAAATACTCCTGATGGGAAATATCTAATTGGCAGTTGTTATAATTATTAATTGTATTGTCATTGGTCATTACCTGGTTTTGTAGGTGATTAACATGGTCAACTAGCAAGGTCTTGTCTCGCTGTAATTCTGTTTTGATTTGCTCTTCCTTGGCCAACATGGCTTGCAGCTCAGCAATGTGACTACTCAAAGTACTTGTATTAAAACCTTGGAGCGTATTTCCACTCAACAGCAAGTTAACCTGTAACATAGAACAAAATTGAACAACCTGTCTACTAGCCTGAACATCAAGGGTGTCTATTATGCTTCTGATAAAATAAAACATATACATTGTTATACCATAACAATACCATTGTCTTAAGCTAGCCTCACACTTTAAAATCAGAATCTGAATCTTTGCGCAATCTCTTTAGATTTTCGAACATCTATGTAGTATGGGGACCCAGGGCCGGATCAAGGTAGAGGCCAGGAACACTACCACCTTTACTGCTGTGCTGGGGAGAGGATGGAGCTGGGACAAGAGCCCCTCCTGCCTCCAAATCAACCCAATCATTTCCTGCATTGTGCAATATAGAGCTATCAAACTAAAAGCTTGGTTCTACAAACTACCCTAGAACAGCACAGCTCTTTCAGTGCCACCTGCTCTATATTGGGTGCGCTGATACTGCTCCTGATACACAAACTTATAGATGTGATCCACTAAATACACTGGGAGAACCGCTCTCCCCATGTAATCTGCAGGGCAGGGCTGTCAGTGTGACAGTCCAGTACTGCTCTTCATTTATACTGTTGTAGCCTTCATTCATATTTCACTGTTGTGTGTAAATATGTTACCGTTATATGTAAAATGTAGTATAAGAAAAAGTATTTTTAATACAATCTTACTCCCTCAGGGGCTTATTAACCCCTTTAGAAACTCTAAATATTTGTTTTGCTATGCCTTCATATCCTTTTCTTAGTGTGTTTTGTTTTTTTTCCAAACATGTCCAAGATCGGGGACCTCTGCCTCGATCTGTTGTAGCTTCCTAACAGAGAGGTCATGGGTTTTTCTCCACCTCTTTCTGTTTACATAATGACACTCAACTCTGAGAAAAGGAGCAGTGTACGGTGCTTCATAGGTTAATGCAGCTTCTCCCAGTCCACTATGCATCTTCATTGTTTTATATCCCTTCCACTAGCAGGGGATACATAGACTGGGAACAGCCAGTCAACATGGTGGGTGGCAGATTAAGAATAGATTAAAGGGTAAAAATCAAAGCAAAACAAATTAATGTGTTTAAAATTGGGAACTGGCAGCAAGACTATTCACCATTACATGGGTTATATTGACAACTTTGTATAGTTCTGCTTTAAATAGAGTGGAAAGGGCGTATTCTGGCGATACACTTTATAATTTTTTTTTATTCAACCCAGTGCGTTAAGTTAGAAAAATCGAATAATTCCTCCATTAATGCTGGACAATGTGGAAGAGGGATTTATCCCTGCCAGCTATTGTATTCTGGCAGATGCCAGTGGTCAGACTACCTTAATGGTGCTGCTGGCATCCCACCCAGCTCACTGCCTTCACTGGGTGCCAGGAGATAAGCGAGACGGTACCATGCACTTCCACCCCCTCCCCTGTAACGTGTCTCACCAACACTCCCCCATGCCCTCCTATATACCCATCCCCCATAATGTGCACCGCCCACATCCCCAATTTTTATATGTCCAGGTTTAGATCTTCAGTTGTTGTATGTCCCTGTTGAGAAGGGTTCCTTTGACTTCCTGTCCTTGTCAGTGGAACTGAGGGGAAGGGAAACCTCTCCAATACAAACAACAATAACATTCCTTTTAATGTAGGGTATAGAAAATGTCTAACTTCTGTAAACTTTCTATTATGGTCTGTGTGGCGCAGTGAGAAACTTCCCCTCACTTTCTGCCCAAAGTTTAGGACAAAGTTTCTAACCGTTCCCCACTCTATTCAAAACAAAAAAACAAAAAAAATTGGTGTAGGCTTTTTTTTCTGCTATGTTTTCTTATATTGGTGCTGTAATTACCTGCTCCATCAGATCGTTTAAACGCTGCTTCTCTTGTAACAGAAGAACATCCTGCCACTTCAACTCCTTGCTCAGCTGCTCTTCTCTGTCCTTAACACTTAGAAGCTGAGCAAAACTAGAAGAATTATGAGTAGAATTCTCTTCCTTCAGTTCTCTCTGCTGGAAATCAAAAAGTAGTACTGTTAATATACACTTCCCATTGTGATCTCTTAATCTATCATAGACATAATGTGATAACAAAACTAGATCTATAGACAATATGAATGAAATGTTATTTTCCAGCTATGTGCTTCAAGTTAGTCCATTTGGAAAAGTATTTCCTTTTTTCTATATATAAGTCATATACATAATCTTTTTTTTTTTCCAATTGCATTCCCTGTTTGATAAGGGGGCAACTGGATGTGATGTGAGTCAGCCAATGTTACATTAAAATGTTTATATTCTAAACCTACATCTGTTGCTTGGCAACCTCAGAGGTCAATGTGAGTGGGAGTCAAGAGGGAAAGCAAGAAACACCTATGTGTCCCTCCCATTTAATCATGTGCCAATGCAATACAGCAAAAAGAAAAACAGCTCGTCATTGAAATGATCTTGAGCATGAACAAATGCAACTCTTTTTCTAACATGGACATAATGTTTGGGATGTAAAATGTTTGGTGTTGTAGACGCCAGCAAATATATGCAACAAAAAGATACAACTGAGGATAGGGCCGTATTTACCATAAGGCACTTGTATAGTTTCTAACTGAATTCCAGGGACATTCCAAGTTTTTCAATATTTGTCCCTGGAAAATCTTTGGTTAAGAACTTTAACAAGCTATACCCAAAATTCCATCTGAATGTTAGATTCAGTTTTACCATATTTTATTTTGAGTTTTATCTTGGTATATTCCACTTTTTCCCAAAAATTCATAAATGCACCCATATTACAAATGTACATTTATTATTTTTTTGCAATGGAGCCTGCAAAGCACTGCAACCATGATCAGTGGATCACGAGTACAATGCACAGGCTCCTTCAGACTGTTTCCCCCAGCCCCCAGTCCGTACAGAGGTATGGACTTTTGGTTATGGAACTAGAGGAAGTTATTAATGGACTGCAAGTACACCAACGGAGCTGGAGGAAGTTATCAATGGACTACAAGTGCAGTGACGGAGCTGGAGAAAGTTATCAATGGACTATCAGTGCGCCGATGGAGCTGGAGGAAGTTATCAATGGACTATAAGTGTGGTGAATTTGCTAAGGGACTTTATCAATGGACTACAAGTATCATGACAAGGCTGGAGGAAGTTATCAATAGACTACATGTGTGGTGATGGAGCTGGAGGACGTTATCAATGGACTACAAGTACGGTAACGTGGAGTTGGTGGAAGTTATTGATGAACTACAAGTGCAGTGATGAAGCTGGAGGAAGTTATTCTGGTAAAGGATTTCAGAGGAGATCCTACGCTTTTTTTTGATGTTGGGGTCCCTCCTAAAATTCTTTAAAAAAACCCATAAAAAAACAAATAATAAAAAAAACAAAAAACGAAACTAAATAATTTTTTTGCCAGCACACATGTCTAGTGGGAAGGGACAGGTCACAGCAGGACCATGGGTAAACTGTTTGTTAATTTTCTTAAAGGTGTATGTATGTAAATGTTTATTATAAGATTGACTTTTGGTAAATGTCTTTATATAATGCTTTAATCTTCAATCTATATCATATTTTATATCATACAAACTAGGGATGCATCGATACTGGTTTTTCTCGTTATCGAGCACAAGTACCGATATTTTTTTTCCGTACTCACCGATGCTAAATACCGGTTCCAGAAGTACCATTAAGGAAGCCAGGCGGCGTGTAATGACTTGCCACCTGGCTTCCTGATTAGCCGGGAGGCGTGTAAAGACTCGCCACACCAGGTGACGGGGGAGCATGGAGTAGGCTTTCTGGCCAATCAGGAAGCTGGGGGATGGATAATAACTCGCTGCCTGGCTTCCTGATTGGCCAGCTTCTCGACCAATCAGGAAGCCAGGCGGCAAGTCATTGCATGGCGCCCAGCTTCTTGAAGCCCACAAAATGACTAGAGCTGGCTTCCCGACCAATCAAGGAGCTGGAAGTTTGGGTATCGGGCTAGGCATCAGTACCGATACCATTGCTAGTACTAGTATTGTTATTGTGCATCCCAAATACAAATCATTTATGTAGCGATACTCAGTACACATGTTGCCTATTCTTCATGTTCTCAATAAACCTCAGTTTGAAAGAGAAGTGTATATATATCGCCAAAGTTGTTGTTTTTTTTAAAGTTTTCGATAGCGCAAGGAACGATTAGGACCCCTATCAAGTTTTTAGTGCTCACTGTGTCCCCATTGTGGAGATTTTCACCTCTATTTGTTCTGGTGATCATTGTCACTGGGACAGAAAGTGATGGAAAAAACAAAATTTGTCACTAAAACAAGAATAGAGGGGAAATCTTCCAATGGGAAAACCTGTTCTTGTGACACCTAAAGGTGCCCACACACCTTGCGATAATCGTACGATAATCGCGGGAAATCCCGCGATCGTACGATTATTGTAAGGTGTGTGGAAGCCGTGCAACCTCTACCACTGTAAGGTCGCACGACTTTTATCTTACGAACATGTTTGAAAACCCGCCGAGAACCGTACGATTTTCAGCGGGTGTGTAGCATGTTCGTAAGATAAAAGCCAGACAGGCCGGTGTGCGCAAGCACACACTGTCCATTCGGCATTGCGGTCATCGGAAGCCCGCCCCTCAGCGGGGCGGGCTTGCGATCACCGCAAGTACGAGCTGCCTGTCCAAGATAGGCAGATCGCACATTTTTTAAATTACCTTACAACCATCGCAAGACAAAAGTCTTCCAATGGTTGTAAGGTGTGTGCCCAGCCTTAGAGGGTATTTTCCCTGACTTCCTTTTGCATACAGGCAACAGAAAATACATTGACTCCCTCAAGTTCTCATTGAAACAGGGTACTTTGCAAATAAATAAACTATGCATGCAGGCACCGGAACATGCTTGCTTTATCAGTCACAGCCAGGTTTTACATTTTGGAAATCCTACAGGTACACTTTAAAGGATAACTGATTGAGATTTGCTTAGAATAGAATTTGCTGCATTGATTTTACCATTTCTAGTTGTTTGGTAATTCCCAGTAACTGAGCCTGCAATGCACTATTTTCACTAGTGAGTGATGCACAGTCATCCATTATTTTCTTTCTCAGAACACGGTCCTGTTCAGACTGCAGGTTTTTCTCACGAATTTGCTGGTGAAGGAAGCTTATTTCATTTCTATGAGTGAAAGTAAAATGTTTCAATTTTGTATAAATCATATCTGCTAAACTGCAAAACAAGGAGGGCAACATTACTTCCTCTGTTGGGTTAATAAATATAGTGATATCACCTCCCTGCACCAGTCTGCTAACTGGACATGAAGTCAGGTCCCTGCTGTAAGCATGCTCCTTGTGTTAAACTGACAGCACTGTGCAATGCAATAAAACCATATTAGCTGACATTGCTGCTCTGCCGTTTTCTGATTCTAAATACTGATTTGCAGGGGTTACATGAAGTTTATATAAAGACAAATTTAGATGGATATATCAGCGGTAAATAACCCCTTCTCTTCCAGAGGTCATTGAAGCCTAGATGCCAAGACCGAGTTTAGCAGCTTCAGTATGAGTCCGTTAACATGACAATTAGAGGTGCACCAAAATGGAATTTTCTGACAAAGCGAAAATAAAATAGTCAGGCCGAAACCGGAAACCGGAAAAAAAAATTCTAACTTTAAGGAAAAAAAATGTTTTAAATATTTTTATTTTTATTAATTTTTTTTTTCTAGATTTTTAAAAATAATTTTAAAAATACTTTATGTTTATTTATTTCCTATTAAAAATGTTTTATTAAATAGTAGGGGTCTAAACTGAGCCCTGTGTCCTCAATCTCTTTTTCTGCAGCCCCTGTTATGAATGAACAGGAAGCCTCTATATTGCTCCTACTGCAAAAGAATAAACAATGGAGACTTAAAGCCAAGATCTAGAAAAATCTTTTTTTTTCTTTTGAAATAGAGAAGGGAACGTTTAGAGCCTCTGCCATGTTTTTTTTTTGCTTTAGTGTCGAGATTTCCTCTCACTTTCTTTCACTACAGCAAATGATAGGAAACCTCTCCAATGGGGACACAGACAAAAACAAACAATTTTAGTAGAGCAGAGTGAAGATGGGTTAGCTCTTGTGACAATGTTTTTATTGCTGTCTCTGCCTTCCTGTACAAGTGATGCCCACAACCCCCATTTCTTAGTGAGAGGTAAATCACCCCCAATGAGGACACAGACAGCAAACAACTGGCTCCTAATCTCTCTGCTTTCCTGAACTTCCTGTCCAGTACAAGATCACAGGGAGCAGCACAGTCTCCAGCAGCCATCCTTCTACTAGCTGGAAGAAGGGAGGAAGAAGGATTGGGGAGCACGGAAGAGGGGAATGATTTGCTTGTCATGCCTGTGGACACACACGTAGCTTACTAGCACACAAGGGTGGCTCCATATGGCCCTGCAAGGGAAAGGGGCCACCCTAGAACAGGATATCTGGGCCAGTGCTCAGGGGACCAGCTAATTCTGCAGGAAGCTAAAACTTTTAAACATCATGGAGTAGCATCCAAGGTAAGCGATTTCATCAAAACCTTTTGACTTTAATATCATTTTAGAATTCTTTTGTTGCAGACTGAACAAAAAAAAAATATATGTGTATAGCCAGCTTTACAGTATACGTTGTCATTTCTTCAGGAGCCAAGGTGGAGTTCATCTTGTCTTTAATATAGTAATCTGGCATTATTTAAAAATCCATTTATTTCACTTTTAAATAGGTGAACCCAACATTGCTACGGGGATGATCTGAAACACTTGCCGTTCATTACTGCAGAAATCAACATGATAATGCGTTTACTAGTAATAGGGTTTAAAATGCAAACATGTCATCCTTCCTTCTGCGATGGTCATTTTGGTTCTCTCAATGAAAGGGTTATGTTCACATATTATGATATATTTCCCATAGTCTGCAGTATCTGTATGCAGAGAGCTACTGTATGTTTCCATACAGGTTACCTAGCTTTGTACCTTAAATCAGATGTCAGTTGGTTTTTGTTTGTTACTGTGTGTTTAATCAGTTTTTCCTCCATATCATCCCTGGCTGAATTCACCTTCAACAACTCAACTCTCTTCTGTGACAACTGGGTTTCCATCTCTTTCTGATTTTCCAATCTTTGCTTTAGCTGTTATTATGCAGAGAGCTACTGTATGTTTCCATACAGGTTACCTAGCTTTGTACCTTAAATCAGATGTCAGTTGGTTTTTGTTTGTTACTGTGTGTTTAATCAGTTTTTCCTCCATATCATCCCTGGCTGAATTCACCTTCAACAACTCAACTCTCTTCTGTGACAACTGGGTTTCCATCTCTTTCTGATTTTCCAATCTTTGCTTTAGCTGTAAAAAAAAAAAAAAAAACATTGACAAGCTTGACAGCACATTAACGTCAGTTTTGTTTCAACTTTTAAGTACAATTAAAAGCATGCAATGTACTTCAGTGAAAGAGATATACTATTGTACTACTGTTAAAAATTTGAACTTATGATTGTCTACTTCATTGTCATTTTACAGAACTATTAGGCTAGCCATAGACGTGTAGATTCTTCTCATTCGTCCTGCAGGCAGAAGGCGAGAAATCACTCGATTCCCCCCATCCATGCTCAACAGCTTAGATGGAGGAGTCTATGCTGTTGGCTATTGTACCTGACTGCATTTGATAGGATGTAGTGACTCTTCGGCCAACAATTTTCCTCCCAGCTCTTTTGATTTTAGAATTGTCTTTTGTCGACAGGTGATACCGACGGGGCCACCATGGCTCAAATTCCAGTCAATTCTGCAGAAATTGGCTGAAATTTTAACTGTATGTGGCTAGCTTAACTGTTATTGATAGGTTGCAATGAGCCATTTGTTCCTTTCTGGGACTGAAAGCTAGCTGAAGTGGTTGAATTAGCTGGAAATTGTCATAATAAGCTAAACTCATGGATTCCACAACTGTCATTGCTTCATGACAATAACTTTTTCATTCTTATTGTATTTCTTCAGGATCACGAATATACAAATGTACAGTAAATTGGTCCCTGATTTATTGGTTTTATAGACTTACTGTAAACAAGTCAGGCATCATGTATATACATGATAATATCTGTCCATTCTTTAAAAATTAAGGTTTTATAAAGCCAAACGTACTTAGTGTTGTACACTATTGAGTAATGAACAACAATTAAGATGCTGATCCACAGGATGATGATCCAGATGGGTCACCTTAATGTGACAATCAGCCTATGTGTTGAAAACAAAGGACTCCCCAACTTAATTTCTATTAACATATATACTGTATACTTCAGAGGGAATGAATAACAGAGTCACATGATGATCAGATCTGTCTATTCATGCTTTCACCATGCAGATTTTCCTGCAATATCCAAATCTGACCACATGCCTGTCTTACTCAACCTTCTTAATCACACTGGAGTCTAGCAATGGCAGCCCCCACGTTTCTCTTAAAAATGTTTACTTTAAATTTAGTAAATAAGCTACTGGAGAAGTGGTTCAAAATATGTCTGTCAGGGGTACGAGTACACAGACCCCAAACGTGAGTCATCTTTTAGGGGTGAAGAGCCGAGATTTTATTCTGTGGTGTGGTAGGTTTAGCTAGGGACAGCATGCAAGTACAAGTATGTGATTGCTGGCTGCTAAGGATGGAGTTACTGCAGGGGCGGGGGCAATATAAAATGTTTCTGGATGTGTCAGTATGCCACTGATTGTGTCTCTGTGGACATGTTTTTGGTTGTGTCTTTGTGGGCATGTTTCTGGTTGTATCAGTATGCTACTGATTGTGTCTCTGTAGACATGTTTCTGGTGTGTCAGTATGCCACTGATTGTGTCTTTGTGGGCATGTTTTTGGTTGTGTCTTTGTGGGCATGTTTCTGGTTGTGTCAGCATGCTACTAATTGTGTCTCTGTGGACATGTTTCTGGTTGTGTCAGTATGCCATTGATTGTGTCTTTGTGGGCATGTTTCTGGTTGTGTCAGTATGCTACTTATTGTGTCTCTGTGGACATGTTTCTGGATGTGTCAGTATGCCACTGATTGTGTCTCTATTGTCATGTTTCTGGATGTGTCCGTATGCTACTGATTGTGTCTCTGTAGACATGTTTCTGGTGTGTCAGTATGCCACTGATTGTGTCTTTGTGGGCATGTTTCTGGTTGTGTCAGTATGCTACTGATTGTGTCTCTGTAGACATGTTTCTGGTGTGTCAGTATGCCACTGATTGTGTCTTTGTGGGCATGTTTCTGGTTGTGTCAGTATGCTACTGATTGTGTCTCTGTAGACATGTTTCTGGATTTGTCAGTATGCTACTGATTGTGTCTTTGGGGACATGTTTCTGATTTGTGTTAGTATGCTACTGATTGTGTCTCTGGGGACATGTTACTGATTTGTGTCAGTATGCCACTGATTGTATCTTTCTGGGCATGTCTCTGGTTGTGTCAGTATGCTACTGATTGTGCTCGGCAAACATGTTACCTCTTCAGTGATAATTGAGAAGGTATTAATGGTATGTTTATTTCTTCCAGTATTTTGGCCATCCTATTTTTCGATACAGGTATTACAGTTTTCATTTATTGTATCTATGATTCTATCTTGATGTTTACAATATGTACATGGATCAGTGCATATCCCTTCTGTGTGCATGTGTTGGGGTAGGCAGCACCTAAACCATTTGGTTTGGGAGCAAAGAGTGGCAAAAGGTATCTGACTTAGGAGAGGAAAATGTATAAATCCGGCCCTGCTACCCCCTGTATAAGTATCAATGCAAACTAGACAAAGAAAGCATTTTTTTAAAACAAAAAAACACAAAGAATTAGGCTGATTTTTTTTACATATATTTGTAAATAATACTGAAAATAATCATAGTGAGTGCATAAGTGTGTAAGAAAAAATATATATAAAATACGAATGAATGCAGTTTTCGATTATTGTCAAAATAATTAAATATATTTCAAATGCAACCTGAATTAGTCTTGTAATCACACTCTTGTAATCACCTCTTCAGTAGGACTAAGAGACGGAAGTTCAATACACTAAGCCAATCGGGCTTTGCTGCATGCACCTGTGCTGAGAAGAAACATGCTACAAGGAGGGGAGAGGAGAGAGATGACCTCATCAGTGTGCTGCTGCTCCTTCTTTGTCTAGTCTTAGGCTGGGGCCAGGCAGGTGACCAAACCATTTTGCCTATATACATTAGAGCAAAGTGAGTTCCAAACCTATGCTATTGGCAGGCCTGTGTACATGAGAATTGTTTCCCTCCATCCGATGAGTGTTTGAAGTTAAACGAAGGTCTACAAATTACCATTTTTCTCAATGGTGAAGTGTGGATGACAGCTGAAAAAGTGTTTTCGACCTATATTTGTGTTTCTAAAATTGCACCATGTCCTTTTGAGAAGTATTTACATCCAAGACAGGCCAAACACAGCCTTTTTCTGTTATGTGCTCACAAATGCATGCCTGCATGCAAATGCAATGGCCAGTTTTCGACACCAATGCCTGTGTACACATGCTCATGTCTGCATCCGAGCATGGACACCCGCATGGATGTGCAGTTCGGGTGAGCGTACAACGGCGTATGGCCCCATACTCCCATAGAAAAGAACAGGCTGCTTCGTACAATCACACGTGCACGCCGCATGGATCTGTACAGGTTCACTCTAAGCAGTGGGGATGAGGCCTAATCCTTTCACTGTCACCAATGTATGTTATAAGTCGGCAGCAGCAGACACCTGTAAACAGACTCCCAGCAGCTAGTCTATTTACCTGTGTAGAGCTGACTGTCAGCTTTACACTGGAAGTGATCTGGCCAGCTGTAAAGCCACCTGATCAGTTTCAGGGCCCGGAAATGTGTGCCCCCCAGCCCAACAACCCCCACCTTTCTTCCCGGGGCTCGCACTGACTGTGTGTGCGGGACAGACATTGCAGGTGTCAGCAGGTAGGAGGGAAGGAAGACCAGCGAACATTCTGATCTCCTCCCCGCTGAATGAAGCTGAGCTGTCATTCCCTGGCTGGAAAGGCTGGGGAAGAAGCTCATCAAGCATGAAAAATGTATAATTCGGGTGGGGGTTAAAGGAAAATGAAACCCTCACATTTTTTTTGCATATATCTACTGCTAGCAAACAGTAGATATATGCAAAAACATTTTAAAAAGTTAACAAAAAGGTTACCTGGGTCTTCGCTGCGCACTCCTGTCCGAAGATCTAAAGATTCTCAGGCGGCCGCAAAGGATCATGTGACGGGCGCATGAGCAGCAGAGATCTTCAGCCGGGAGTAGAGGAGACACACAGGGTAAGTCAACGCAGGCAGACACAGGAGTCAGCTGGGGGGGGGTTAGACTTTAATGTCATTTTAAATAATTCTCAGGCCTAAAATGTGGGTTGCAACATTGTGCAAATAACACAAAAACGGCCCTGGCGGTGTGAGGGTTAAAGTAAATCCAGCTCTAGGAACAAATTCCCTATTTCCGCCTGTAATTACTGGTTATGTATACCTGTGCCTGAAGAAATTGTACTTTTTGCTTAGTGTCAGCTAAGCTAAGAATCTCCCGTTCAAGCTCCTGCTTGCTATGCATAATCTTCATCTCCTTCTGTGAGATCTGTCTGTTAGTGAGCTCCTTTGTCTTCTTCAGCTGAACAATATCCTCCAACAACTGCTTTTTTCCTCTAGTGTGAAAAGCTACAACGACAATGCAAAACACATTTGTGTATAACCGTTAAGTCTTTATCATTGTCTCAATCTATATTATTATAAACATAGATGGAAGCTAGAGAAAAGGAGGTGATTGGGTTTGCAACAAAACCAGAAAACTGCTCACTGATTTTAGAACTCAATTCAAAATAAAACAAACCCAGAAAAGGTGCAAACAAGTGAAGTGCATCAACATACTGTATGTCACCAAATGCATGCACCCAGATCTCTGATTTTAATCTAATCAGGCATTGGGTGGATCCCGACAACATTGTCAGGATACTTCCCAGCTGCAGCATGGCTCAGCAGAGCTGTGTTTGGGTCACAGGCGTACATTTACTAATGTACGCCTGTGACCCAAAAAAGTTTTAGCTTTAGTTCTCTTTTAATAAAGATATCTTATTGTTTTACTTTGAAAAACAGTTAAATAATCATGACGAAATGACACCCAGCAACCACCACCAAAATAAAAACGACAATGTTGTCTTCATAAAAAACACCACATAACATCCAGACCACAAAAAAAAAAAAGATTTACTAAACCCTTACACTTTATGCATCACGGGGCTAAATATTAGGTCTCTCTCTCTCTCTCTCTCGAACTTATCGATGATAATAGTTGCCAACTATTCTCATTGTCGATTAATTGTTGCAGCTCTGCTAAATGTATGCTATTCAATTGCAAGCAGTATTCCTTCAGAGGTTCCTTTTTTATATAATCAGATGTCAATATCGATGATAATAAAACCTTTCGGGGATGAGTCCAAGACTGTGCACTGAAACCAGTGAATCATAAAAAGTACAATTACTCAGATTTATCCCAACAAATTAAGTCTGCCCAGAGATAAGTTTACTCTGGAGGATTGATTGTAACTGAATGCCAAAATTATTGCCATTCACTTTAATCCACAATTTCGACACCATTAGGGGCAGGCAACACTGCTTCTCCTGTTGAGCCCCTGTGAACATACTTAACCCACCTTATATCTTAGGGGATACGTTTATGGGTCAGCTTTTCACACATGTATAATCGCGCTCCACTGGTCCGGGACTTATGTGGTGTTTTTTTATGATGACAACATTGTCATTTTTATTTGGTGGTGGTTGCTGGGTATCTTTTGATCATGACTATTTAAAGTAGAACTAAAGCCAATTTTTAGCTTTGGATACAGTAAGGGAGGATTATAACTAGGGATGCATCCATACCGGTTTTTCAGTACCGAGTACCAACATTTTGCTTTAGGTACTCGCCGATACGGAGTACCGATACGGAGTACTGATACCGGTGCTTCCACTGGCATGGAGCCGGCTTCCTGGGCAATCAGGAAGCCGGGTGCAGGTAATGACATGCAGCCTGACTTCCTGATTGCCCGGGAAGCCAGCTCCATGTTGTTTGGCCTGGGAAACCAGCTTCCCAGCCAATCAGTTTGGAGCTGGCTTCCCAGGCCAATCAGGAAGCCGGGTGGCGAGTAATGACCCATCTCCCGGCTTCCTGATTGGCCAGATAGCCAGCTCTATGCTGATTGGCCGGGAAGCCGCCGCCCGGCTTCCTGATTGCCCGGGAAGCCGGCCCCAGGTCCTCCTATGGTAGTGCCGTTCAGGGGAAATCTTTCTCTGACAGGAAGTTCCAGTATCGGGGAAAGTATTGGAGCATTTGGGCCGAGTACGAGTACTCACCCAAATACTCGGTATCAGCAAAGATACTAGTATCTGTACATCCCTAATTATAACCACTGTCAACCTTTTTTTTTGCCACCTGTGTCCCACTGGGGATATTTTCCTTAATTTCCTGTGTCATAGCCACAAAAGGAATTGAAAGGAAATCCCTCCAAAGAGAGGGATATCCCTGGTGGTCAGCAAAGCCACCAAAACTAGTGTTCCCATTGGAAGATTTCCCACCAATTTCTTTTTTTATATCAACCCCAAAATTGGGGATTTTCTTTCACTTTTAGTGATAATGGTCACCAGTAAAAATAGAGGGGTGACTTTCCCAAATGAGGGCACAGACGGCAATAACATCATGACAAGTGTTCTAATCCTTCTCTACTCTATCCAAAACGAAAAAAATTTTTTAGGTTCAGTTGCAGTGTAACTGTTTTTCAAAGTGAACAAAAATCCCTTACGGGATAGCGCAGCAATAAGGAAAAGGTCATTACTGAGTATATGATATTAACATTTACTGCTGTCTTCTAGAAAGGCAAGGTGTCAGCTACGTAACAGCAATGTTACATTATCAATCCCTTTTAGCTTCACATGGATTAGTGTATATACGAGAAAAACTGTAACATGGCACATGAACTTTGCTGCAACGTGAAAACATTAGAATGTAACAGACATACCATTTCTTACAGGGACGTTCGGTCAGAAGAGGCAGGTGAGGCAGAGCGTCTGAAGCGGACTACTTTTTCTCCATTCAGTGCGGCTTCTAACAGGTTGCACATCAGGGAAATCCTCCCCGCTGCGTAACCTGTCATGGACGGAGCGTTGCCTGTTAATTACTGGCAGCGTCGATCCGGCTTTTGACAGCTAAGTTCGGTTACACAACAGCGGGCTTCCCCACTGCTTGTGTAACCTAACCTAGTGAGGCAAGAGCTGTCACAGCCTCTACTCTATGTTAGAAGCTTGAGCTTTGCAGATGATTTGGACCAATGGCAAAGCGCCATTGGTCCAAGCTGTCCAATAAAATAAAGGAATAAAAAAAACACTGAAGACATCGATCTCGATGCCTCACCAGTGACGAGCATGTGAGGGACAGGTAGGCTTCTCCCTGTCTCCTCCCTCCCTCCTTCACACTAGCTTGGTGACCAGGTTGGGGGGTGCGGCTGCATTGGGAGGAGGCTTCGGCGGGCTGGGGGCAGGGCTTCTGTGGGCTGGGGGGGGGCATGCTGGGGTGGGGCTGGGGAATGCCTCACCCAGCATGGAAGGTACCGCACGCCACTGATTTCTTAAGCTGTATTCAATAGAGCTGGAGCAGGCAACAATATTTGTATGTTTGGGCTTTGAGCTAACTTTCATCACCATACTGGTTTGGTTTGAATGGAAAGTAATTCAGTAGAAAAGGAAAAGCTGTATTTTTCAGCTAGATTTACATTCAGTAGAGGGACTATTATTTTTTCACTCAGGTCCCACAAAAACCCTTACCTGCATAGTACATACAATTCAATAAATATAGAATTCCTTACCTTCAGCATCTCTGATCTGCCCTTTCACATGTTCTAGGTCACGCTGTAGCATTAGTAAATTAGCATCTTTACGTTTAGCTTCAAGCTTTAATCCTTCGCTCCCTGATCGAAGGTCCTAAGAAAAAAAAAATCTAACAGTCTGACTCTACCTTTAGCATAACTGAATTTCCAATTGTGGCTATTGTATTCAGACAGACAGCTCATGACACTGTGAGAATACATGGCTGCAGTCACTGTTTGTCAGAACATTTTCGGCGTGGCTCCATAGTTAAAAGTTGATTAATGGATGTGTGTCAAGCCAGCAGGGCCACAAACTGTAAGAGAGTTCCGGCTGATTCCTGTGAATTGTCTGAAATTCTAACAGTGCATGGCCAGCCTAGCATGACAATCATTTATTCCTTCTGATTTTGTATAAATATATGCAATAAAATAAAGAAGTGTAACCCTTTACTATTTTTTTCTGATTGTGTGACTCCTGTGTCTCCAAATCCAGTTGAATCAAACCAATTTTAATCAAATTTATCATTACATTTACATCATGTTTGCCTTCCAATGCGATTCCAACACAGAACTGGTATGTTTTTCGATCGTGTAATGCTTTATCTGAACAATTGCTGGATATATTATCCCAAGTACAGACTCAGTAACTATATGGCTGTAATGTCTGTTTTCATGTCTGAATGGATGAATTTCCCCTATTGTATTTTCTATAAGAAATAGTGTGAAGTACTTGGAAAGCTATTATTCGAAGACAGAAAAAAAATGAGACACTGTACAACTGACACCAGAATGCATATTCGTCACATATAAAGGAGGGTGAATTCATTTATACTGCCATTGCAGAGAAATGAGACAGGATTAATCCACTTCTTTGGCAATTTGTATTTTAAAAGGAACCTGTACTATTAAAACAGCAGCCTCCAACATCCTAAATGTGTATAAAAATATGCTGATGGACGATAAAGGTGTTTAGATGTGCTTCCTCTGATGCTAGCCACCCACAGACGCTGGAAGATTAGCCACAAAAACTCTACCCAAAGGGAAGTTTAATGTTCTGTCCACTTCCCCCGGAATTTCAGATTTCTTGGCTAAGATCACATGACCAGTGTCTCAGCATGTGACTGGTATGGGAACAAGCCTTGAGTAGCAGCTTCTTTAGGGAAGGTATCAAGCACATCTTTTGCTAGACAGAATCAAACACCGCGTCAGCAGATTTTGGTTCAAGAGAGTATTAAATCAATGATGTTCAGGACGATAACGGTGCGGCTCTCACCAGGTTCAGAACAACCTCAGCACTGCAAGACAAGACACAGAGAGCGCCTCCATCGCATAAAAACTTTTAAATAAACGAATAAAAAAATTGTATAAAAGGTACTCACAAAGGACGAATAAGAACAGGCATAAAAGGATCAGAACGAAAGGTGCATATCCCCGGCTGTTCGTCTTCCCTGGTAGTGAAGTGGTTTACGCGTTTCAGGGGTCACGCCTCCTTCCTCAGAACCAATTGGGAGTGTTGGGAACACTGCCAATTAAAGGCGTGACCTCTGAAACGCTTAAACCACTTCACTACCTGGGAAGACGAACAGCCAGTGGATATGCACCTTTCGTTCTGACCCTTTTATGCCTGTTTTTATTCGTCCTTTGTGAGTACCTTTATACCATTTTTTTATTCATTTATAAAAAGTTTTTATGCGATGGAAGCGCTCTCTGTCTTGTCTTACATCTTTTGCTACTTTATGGTATATTTCCCAACCAGTATAGTATATAGTACTCGTACTCACCCAAATGCTCCCGATGCCTATCATGATACCAGAACTTCTGGTATCAGGAAGCCGGGTGGCGAGTCATTACACAACATCCAGCTTCCTGATTGGCCGCAAAGCCGGCTCCATGCTCCCTTGTCACCTGGTGACGAGGGAGCATGGAGCCAGCTTCCCGGGCCAATGAGGAAGCCGGGCACCATGTAATGACTCGCCGCTCGGCTTCCTGATTTGTTGGGAAGCTGGCCAATCAGGAAGCCAGGCGATGAATCAGTACCCCGCCCCCCACCAACCTGATTGGACAGAAAGCCGGCTCCATGCTTCCTCGTCCCCTGGTGAAGAGGGAGCATGGAGATGGTTTCCCGGCTAATCTGATACCGGAAGTCCCATTAAGGCCAATCAAGAAGCTGGGCGGCGAGTAATTACACACCACACGCCTTCCTTAATGTGACTTCCGATATCGGCGAGTACGGGGAAAAAAATTATCGGTACCTGAACTCGATACCAAGATACTGGTAATAATGAATCCCTAATTATTAATAAATAGATTTCTAATAAAGACCAGTCACCATTGTTCTCTCTCCTTGTGCAGAGTGACTGGTCTTATCTCAGGCAGCTTCTAGTGGGTGGGGCCTGCTGGGTCCCTCCCACAGCTCTGCTCTCTGCACAGGTTATGTACAGCATACTGATGATGTCGCTGCTAATTTTCAAGATAATATTTGGGTTTGCAAAGGCATTTGGTGCACACAAAGTGGATTTATAATGTGGCCATGTATTTAAATAAATGTTTTTGTGCTGGGAGTTGAGCTTTAGGAATATAATATTCATTCATCACATCATATTCTAATATCAAATGTTTAATTATTTAGGTTATTTATATGTTGCGTTTATTCAAACATGTACCCTAGAAGCATGAGTATAGCTGTATATTTACAATAAATACTGTAAAAAGAGTTTATTACCAACAATTTCCTGAGCAGGTGCTCTGCCTCCGTGGTAAGCTGTGGAGACAGCTCTGTGGCCTTTTTAGTCTGCTGGCGAGTGAAAATCTCGAGTTAAGAATAAGTTCTCTAATAGTATGTTCTTAGACCATCCATTCTCCTTTTCTTGAGAAAGTAAAAATTACCCAGTATACTGATGTTAATAATTTATATAAAATATATAATTTATAAAAGGCTAGGATGGGTATGGTTGCTATAAACAACTTGCCTGCTTTTCCTTTTCACAGGTTTCCATGAACAGCCAAAGACATAACAGGGCAGTTGGATGTGCTGGCACACCTAAACTATTAGCCTATGACTGTGACCTGATGGGCAAAAATATGCAAGTTTACATGCTTATGGAAGGAGCAAGGGGAGGGCACAGCCAGCCAGCCAGCCAATGCTTAGTGTCGGCTTGTCCCGAAGGAGACAAAAACAATCAAGAGTTTCAGCGCTGTCTGAAAGACCTTCTCCTCCAAGATCCTTCTCTTGGGGGTTTCGTCTTTGCCCATAAAATGCCAGCTTCAACAATCATCTCATGTTTACAGCCTCCTTAAAATGTACCTGCCGGGGTAAAAAATAGTCAAAAAGCCACTTACAGTGGTTAGCTGACACCTTTGGGTGCCGCCACACTGCCTCTGAACACCTCCAGGGCATTGCAGAAGGCCCAACACCTGGCTGCTCTGTAATGCAAAATGCCAACTAGCTTACTGGTTAACAGCTGTGGATCAACAGAATTCTGATTAAACATCATTCTTAGGTGAATAGTTAAAAAAAATGCATGTAGGTGGACACTCACATACTTCTTCTACATCCACTAGCCATCTGGCCACATTAACCACAGGAATTATAACTGTTTGCAGTGCTAGGAATAGGGCAAGCTGCCCCAGGCCCACGTGATTCCAGACCGAAAATTTCCATTTCTAACTCTGCATTAGCTGTCACTAGCCTAGTTCAGGAGGTCAGAAAAGCTTTTATTTCATATATTAGTGGTCTGGTGTTTAAATATATATATAATCACCACCCTGGATAGCAGACCTCAGATCTTTACAACCCCTTACATCTATGACTCTCTTGCTTCAATAATGTGAGTCCCTGCCTAGAAAAGCTATGCATAGATTAAGTGATTTCTCTCTGACTTTTCCTGATCTTTACACTTGTACTGTTTACTGATTCAGAATACAGTGAGGCCAAAAGGCCAGCAGTAAGGCAGAATTAAACCGTATACACATTTTGGGGCCCACAGGAGCTTTCACCATAACGTGCAAGTATGCTTAGCTATACTTTGCAAACCACCCCCTTTGAGCAATGTGATCTCTGACCGCCCCCTTATCTCTCCCTTGCCTGGTTCTATCAGGTTCAGAGTCTTTAACCTTCTTAATTAGCTAGGCTGGGATAATGCTACTCATGCTCAGGGGTTACCTCGTCCTGGCACAAAATAAAGCTGAGATTGAACACTGAACTGTGCGTGCATGGCTCGGTGTACAATAAGAAAAAAAAATGCTGTCAGGCAGGGGAGAAGCATTTCTGGCAGATGAGACACACAAAATCCCTTCTGCATACATGTAGTAGTATGCTGCCATAAACTGGTGCCAAGAAAGGAAAATTTTGCTTAAGTATGATAGAACTTTCTGTTTTCCTGGTGCTAGCATGGCACCATACATATGCTGCCATAGGTTGCCACCGGGGAAGGAGGATTATAGGAAAGTATGATATATTTTTCAGTTTTCCTGGTGCCAACATGGCAGCATAGATGTGTTAGTATGCTGCCATGTTGGTGATTGGTGACAAGAAAGGAAAGTTACAAATATGATAGAATTTTCTGTTTTCCTGGTGCCGACATGGCAGCATACTGCCACATCTATGCTGCCATTGATTGGCACCAGGAAAGGAAAGATATAGGCAAGTATGATAGAATTTTCTGTTTTCCTGGTACCAACATGACAGCATACCACCACACCTATGCTGCCATTGATTGGTGACAGAAAAGGAAAGTTATAGGTAAGCATGATTTAATTTTCTGTTTTCCTGGTGCCAACACGGCAGCATACTACCACACCTATGCTGTAATTGATTAAAGACAAGAAAGGAAAGTTACAGGTATGTATGATCAAAGGAAAGCAAAGATATAGCCAAGTATGATTTTATTTTCTGTTTTCCTGGTGCCGACATGGCAGCATACCACCACACCTATGCTGCCATTGATTGATGTCAGGAAAGGAAAGTTATATGTATGATAGAATTTTCCCTTTTAGTTTCACTTCAGCATCCAGGCAAGTAGCATTTTCATAAGGAGCTCAATCATATGGCTCCCATATTTCTTTCATGACAGGTTTCACTCTAACAACAATGTGAGACATATTAGCATTTCCCACCCTTTGACCTTACATAACACCATCAAGTGAGCAGAAAAGGATATAGAAAGCCGGCCTCCAGTTCGAGGAAGTAGATTTGTTCCTGCAGATTCTTAATATACTGGGCTTCCAGGGTGAAAGTCATAGAATCCATTCTCTGTAAACAATTCGAATGCTTTGTGAAAACCTAGTAAATGCACATATACATGCTACAGACAACTTTAACATGCCTGTCACTCTGCATACATCTTCTGCATGTGACCCTAATGTTTGGTATGTATGGTGAATGCACGTTATGTTTACAAATGCCTAAAATCAATGAAAAAACACTGACACTAATCAATAGAAAGCACATTAAATCCCTTTTTTTTGGAATCTGTAATGGAATGAGACATGTAAATACCTTCTGTTATAGGACTTTCCTGTGCTGTTTGGTGTGGTGATGCTGCCCTCTCCTGGCTATTTTACACATTACAATGTAATCTTGTGCTCTTTCTATATGTTAGACTTTAATAAGTATATAAAGCAGTCTAGGGGAAAACAGAATGTCCTTCTCTAGTCCCTGGCTAGTGTGTGCTTAAAGTGAAGGAGATGTGCTCCTTGGTTAGGAGTAGTATCCTACCCTTAGACAGCAGCAGCTCCAGTCTTGGTGTGTGTGTAGCCGTATCCTGGGAAGCAGTGATGGTTGCCAAGCAACAGTCACTTCCTGTGAGGGAGGAGGAGAAACTTAGATACAGTGACACATTTTGTGCCCTCAGCTTTATATGTATGTTCATGATAGGGACATGAAAAACCCTAATGGTCACTGAGACTTCCAACCTGCACCAAGTTTGAGGAAACAAATGTAATATGAACATTATTAGCAGCACATAAACAGAAGTCCCAACTGTCCCTTGTTTCTGTAGGACGGACTATCCTACAGAAACAAGGGACAGATGGGACTTCTATTTATAAACAGGGACAGGGGGACTCTCTGTCCCTGTTTACCCCTCAGTTGTCCATCTTTTTTGTTTGAATTTTTTTATAAAGAAATGTTCAATTTAACTATCAAAAGTATTATATTGCACTAAACTTTTCACCCAGCCTCTAAATCAGAGGTAGGCAACCTTGGCACTCCAGCTGTTGTGGAACTACAAGTCCCAGGATGCACTGCAAGAATGACAGCCACAGGCATGACTCCCAGAGGGAAACGCATGATGGAATGTGTAGTTTCACAGCTAGTGTGCTGTGGTTGCCTACCCCTGTTCTAAATGATTGCATTGCTATTTTCAAAAGCTGGTAAAAAGAAAAAGTATAAGTGAAATAAAAACATGTGGGTTTAACCAATCATTTTGAAGAACTTTGGATGTTTGAAATCTTAACCCTTGTAGTGGGACAACCCCACCACTGCATAGTTTATGTGCTTGTTCTGTCTAGGGAGCTAAAATAAAAGTCCCGCCTGGCTGTTAGATCAGTCTCTGGAGCCTCTCTCCCCCTCCGCTCTGGCGGTCTAGGGTCCTGTGAGTCATCATGGCTAGTACACTGTATTGGACGTGAGGACGCCAAGGGACATTCTATCGGTGGAGTGAAGGGGGGAGAGAGGCTGCAGGGACCAGTCTAGCAGCCAGCCGGCATTGAGGTACAGGTGCGTATATCTTTAATTTTAGCGCCCCAGAAAGAATGAGCACCTATCCCTTGCAATGCGTGCGGGGGTAGCCCCACTGCAAGGGTTAAGATTCTTACTTTAAGCATATCTAAAACCAAAAGCAGAAAAAAAAGGCAAAAGCTTTCAGTCATGTATGCAGGGCCGGATTTCCCACAAAGCCAAACGAGGCCCGGCCTCGGGGCAGCAGGGGTGTGGAATTCATATCTCCCGCTGCCTGGGACATGCAGTTCCGGACCCCGCTCGGGTAGTTTTCTACATTTAGCCCTGCTTTGGGCAAGCACAGCTAAATGTACAGCGGGGAAGCCGCCACTTGTTTTGTACAAGTGATCTCGGTGATGTCGCCAAGATCACTTGTATGCAGCCTGCATACAGGGGGGCGCATTGAGGAACCTGACATTGGGGCAGCACAGAGTAAATCCGGCCCTGCATGTATGCATGCTTCCCGACTTTCAGAGATGGGAAAGAGGCACACATTATAGCACAAGGAATGTAGGGAACGGATACAGCCCTACCATGCCTCCAGGCACACCAACCATGTAGAATTAAATGTATCTCAACCCAAAACCAAAAATGGAGTACATTGCAGCTTACCACTCCATGTATGCATTCATGACTGGAAGCTTTTGCATTCGAAGTGTTTGAATTACTGAAGCTTTTTAAACAATTTTGGATAGAATATAAAAGAGGGGAGAAGCCCCTGTTAGGTTTTTTTTACTGCTCTTTTGAACTATTTCTTCTTTTGAATATTGTCAAATCCAAAATCTGGAGTTGTCTCAGGAACGGGAGATGAGGAGAAATTTTCAAAAGGTTAAACCTGTTACTGTGACATCTGTCCAAGAGGAGATTTCCTCTCACTGTGGAGAAATATCCTACTTTGTACAGTGTCTCTGGCACAGGAAGTAAAGGGAAGGCTACCCATCCAGATAGAAATTAATGAACAATAATTATTATCCTTGGCCTCTTTCAGCAGGGTAATGTGCCCTGTCACACTGCAAAAATGGTTTAAGGATATTTTGAGGAACACAAGTTTGATGCATTGTCTT